GGCTCTTACGATCGCAGTTGCTCGCTCCTGACACACAAGCCATCTACATACACAACAGCAGCGGGGACTTTTCGTCGAAACAGATGTTCCTGCTGTGTAGCCTTAGGATCCTGTCCATCATCCTGCACTTGAGACATGTGCGCCGGGGCCTGTGCAAGGTTGCAAATCGCTCTCTGGGGAGAACGAAGAAGCAATCAGCGTTGCAGTTCAAGCCTCCTGTTACCTACCGGTACCAGTATTCGTAGATGGGGTAGCACCAGCATTCAAGTGTAGCGTTGTTGATCACCACTCCATGTACGATCGGTGTATTGTGCGTCCGCGGCCAGAACACGTAGCACAGGATGAAGTGGGGTAACTCTCTCGGTGTTTCGTATATGCTTTCCACAAACCAGGGCATCTCGCCATGTAGTGCTTGACAGCTTTCAGCTCCAGCTACCATTAGGAACTATCCTGTGCTGCCCTGCATTACCCCAGCTAGCACCAATGGCATCTTTGGTAAAAGGAGAGCTTGTATCTTGGCGCAACCTCCACAGCAGTCAATCTGCATGTCCCCATACGGTTCAAGGGCCATGCACGCTGACTGGGTAAACACCAAGCCTGATTCGCGGACTGCCTGTGCTGATCGTTCCGCCGCAGCTGAAAATCATCATGACAACGCCATTGGTACGAAATAGTCGTTTCCGAAGCACAGCCGGCGAGGAGGAGCCTGTCTCGAATCATAGACCTCGCTTCTTGAGCTCGGCTGTCACAGTGGCCCATTCGATTCGAGCTCTCCAGGTACTTTACCCCGGAGCATCCCACCGTAACACACGTCTTATGTTTCCACGCAGCATTCTTCAACATGCCTAGTCCGTTGAGATCATTGCTTGGTTCGATCAGGAAGAAGCCGACTCAAGCCAGTGATGGCCGGTCTGCAGAGGCGGCAAGTGGCTTGAAGAACAACCAGGTAAATTCTATAAGTAACCAAGTATGTATGAGCATAAGCTGATGTTATTTCTGTAGAAAACTGCAATCATGAGCGATCTCACGGGTTTGGGTGTCAAGAATGCCAAATTCGCGCTAGAAGCCGTAACTACTTTGGCATCCGGAGAGCCTCTTGACGATAAGGATCTCTTGCTCGAGCAGGGCGTGGAAATGCTTCAGGGCTTGCCACCAAACAGTGGTCTCAGCTCCAAGATATCCGATGGCTTTATTGCCATGCTTTGGAACGATCTTCCACATCCAACGCCAACACATGCAGGACCTTCAGCACGATACAGGAAACACGACGGCTCTGGAAATAACCCACACAATCCAGACATGGGCAAAGCTGGATCGCCCTATGCGCGTAATGTGCCTCCTTCCAAGCCGAAAGGTATATATCTGCGCTTCCATTTCCCTATAGAGCTAACTGGTTATACCAGGTCCTAATCTGCCCGACGTGGAAGACGTATACGAAGCCCTCTTGAAGCGCAACGGTTCATTTCGCCCTCATCCGTCAGGACTGAACAGGCTATTCTTTTCTTTCGCAACCATTGTCATTCACGAATGTTTCCAGACCTCCAGAACCAATCCTTGGATTAACGAGACCTCTAGTTACGTCGACCTCAGTACTCTGTATGGAAACACAGAGGTAGAGCAGAAGCGTGTACGAACATATCGTAATGGGTTGATCTACAATGACTCCATTGCATCGGATCGCATCATGATGATGCCTCCCGGCGTTGTTGCAGTGCTTCTTATGTTCTCAAGAAACCACAACCATGTTGCCGAGTCACTGTTCTCTGTAAACGAGGATGGCAAGTACAAGCCTTGGGATACCTTGAACGAGAAGGAAAGGCAATGGTAAGCACTATACACATCTTATCAGTGCTACACCTTCTGACAAACAAACAAGGCAAGACGAAGACATCTTCCAGATCACACGCAACATCAATGTGGGCTTCTTCGCTTCTGTGGTTCTCCACGATTACGTGGCAGCCATTCTGAACACTCCTCGTGCCAACTCTGAATGGTCTCTAGATCTTGGCAAGGAGATCAAAAAAGGTGGTGTACGCGTCGAGCGCGGGACTGGGAGTCACGTTTCCGTGGAGTTTGCTGTGCTCTACCACTGGCATGCCGCATTAAGTGCAGCAGACGACCGCTGGATGGAGGACATCATCCGGTCTGTAAAGCCCGAGATCACCAATATTGATGATGTCACCATCGAGACCTTCCATGAAGTCATGATGCACTATGGCCATCAAATGAAGGAGCAGCTGCCGCAACATTGGACCTTTGGTGGTCTTAAACGTGATGCCGATGGCAAGTTTCGTGACGAAGAGCTCGCAGAGCTCATCAAGTCTTGCACGGAAGAGCCTGCTCATGCTTTTGGTGCTCACGGCACGCCGGCCAGCTTGAAAGTTGTTGATCTCATGGGCCAACTACAAGCCCGAGAGGTGTTCAACGTTTGTACCCTCAACGAGTTCCGCAGGTATCTGAACCTGAAGCCCTATGAGACGTTCGAGGATTGGTGCTCAGACAAAGAGACTGCAAGATCAGCTGAACTGCTCTATGGTCACATCGAGAACATGGAACTCTACCCTGGTCTGATGGCCGAGTGCACTAAGCCAGCCATGCCAGGCAGCGGAGTGTGTCCAGGTCAGACTACCGGACGAGGCATTTTGGATGACGCAGTCGCACTTGTTCGTGGCGACCGCTTCCTCAGCTACGATTTCAATAGTAACACTTTGACTCAATGGGGGGCGGCATTACTCGCAGACACGGTGCCCGGCGCATACGGAGGCGTCTTCCCCAAATTACTCTTCCAAGGTCTTCCTGGTGGATTCACTGGCACTTCGCCCTATGTTCTCCTTCCCTTCTATACCCCTGAAGCAGCCAAAGGCATCCTCACGGGCAACAAAGTTCTCGACAAGTATGACCTGAAACGCCCTGCCAACGATAATGACATCATCAGTGTGCGTACCCAAGAAGGTTGCAAAGCCGTCTTCGAAGACCGCGAAAGCTTCGCTGTGATGTATCAAGCCGCCATTCGCAACTGCACCGCTGGCCATGACTTCATGATAGGATGGGACGAGCAAAAGAAGCACGACGAGCGCTCTAAGATCCTGCATAAAGTCTTTTTCGAGGAAGGATTTGAAGCAAACGTCACTTCTTTCTTCAGCAGCAACGTGGCGAAACTTATCAAGAAGAACAGTCTCAAGGGCGCAAAGGGCCGCATGAGCATCGATATCGTTCGCGATGTCACCAACATCACGCCCATTCTCTGGCTCGCAGACCGCTTTGCCCTACCTCTCAAGACTCAGGAGCAACCCCGTGGCTTGTTGTCGATTTACGAGGCATTTACCGCATACCTTGTACTTTTCATGTACCAATCTTTCAACATCCTGCCCCAAAACGAATGGAAACTCCGCGAGGGCGCCATGAAAGCGGCCGCACCCCTACGCTCCATCTTTGAAACGCACCTGAAGACGCAAACAGGCGCCATGGAAGGCCTAGTCGACTGGATGGCCAAAGGCAGCACCTTCGAAGTCGGCCCCCACGCAGATCGCATCTACAAGGCGCTTGCGGAGACCAAGCTCCCCATGGGCGATAATGTGGGTGACTGCATTGGCATGGGCGCGCCAGTGGCCGGCAACCTCACACAGCAGGCCAGTCTGTTAATCGACCTATACCTCAAGCCCGAGTACGAGCAGTACAAGAACCGCATCATCCAACTCGCACACATGGATCCCGCCGTCTCCGACCGAGAACTCCAAGGTTTCGTGTACGAAGGCATGCGACACGTTGGCGTAGTCCCTGGCCTCCCTCGTGTCGCCACGCGCGACGTCACTGTGCAAGACGGCGTGCGGGGCCCTGTCTCTGTTAAAAAGGGCCACACGATTCTCGTGGCTACGTCGATTGCCGCCATGGATCCCGTAGCGTTTCCCAACCCGGAGATCTTAGACCCGCACCGCTCGTTCAAGGACTACACGCTACTCGGTCACGGATTGCACTTTTGCTTTGGCGCGCGACTCGTCGGGCCATCTCTTGCAGCTACGCTGCGCGAGGTCTTCAAGCTGAAGAACGTACGGCGTGCGCCCGGGAAGCAGGGCCGGTTTACGACGACGGAGCACAAGTTGGCGGGCATCACGATGCGGCATTATCTCGATGCTAATGCCAAGGAGAGTCCGATTCCGACCAGTTTGAGACTTCACTATGATGCAGATGATGTGGGCGTTAATGGCGGTGTAAATAGCGTGCCCCATGCGTATGAGAATGGAAATGCGAATGCCGGGGGCGACAATGCTTATGGGAATGCGTATACGATTGCGCCGTAGATTGACGAGCGGAAGGTTGCGAGAGGCGAGGTGGATCGAAGGCAAGGATGGGGAGTAATGTCGAGTCTTTTGGAGATTTGGGAGGCAAGAAGGGCCTTGGGTGTTCGTGTCAGGGGTGGATACCCCCTCACCACACGTACATCGTAGTGTCTGAATTTGAAGGGCAGAATGGCACAAGGCGTGTTTAATGGCCTGTAATGTTACAGATATACAGTCGTTCGTTCCAAGAAACATTTGTTATCAATACACGTTGGAACTGAAGATTACTCGACATGATCAATCGAGTGTGGCACATGCATGGCATGCTATAGCTAATGCAATCACAAAATATAATCACTATCTTGTCACTAAATTCTCGCCTGGATCCAGCATTTCGGGGGCACCAGGGAACAGATACAGTCTCTTCGGAGATGACTGCATCACGGCGTGTTCGACCGGTGAGATCCAGATTTCAAAAAGCGTCACATGAACTGAACAATCAGAGCGACTAAAGTGTCCACAGAGGAAATATAGCAAGTAGGAATTATCTCGGATGCGCGCTACGGATTCGAACAATCTTCAGCATTATCTAAGGGCATAGGAAAAAAATGAAAGATACAATGCGTAACGTCGAGCCATCTCTGTCCAGCAGCACCCGCCCACCTCGTCCAATCTCGTCACCGTCCACCGTCTCCTCGAAGACCTTTATAGTCGTGAATCGATGGGAACCCGTGATTCAAACAAATTGTACAGTGCTCCATCAAATCATACATGAAACGACCATGGTCTCGTCGCTCATATCGTTCTGAACAGACGCCTCTGGGAATGTTCCGATGTGCACTGCGGTACCAAGAATGCAATCGGTACCTCGCTCGCGCCATCGGCATGAAGCCCGAGACCCGAAGTTATTATAGCTTGCGCGTCTGGCATTGGCATTGGCATTGGCAACTCGTTCTTTCCGTCACTCTGTGTCTGGATGTCCTCTGCATTCACCGCCGTCATCTCGCTCACACCATCGTCCTCAATCTTCTCATGTGGCATTTCATCATCCTGCATAGGTGTGACAGCCATTTCCTCAGAGATACGATACAACGGCGCAGAAGCATTCTGAGGCATAATCTGAATTTTTCTGGCCATAACCATATTCTCGCTGGCGATGTACTGTTCTTCGATGACGCCATCCAGGCCGCCTCTTTTCTCGGCAAAGACCAGCTTTGACTCTTTTTCAATTTGCATGAGGGCGGGACAGCAGCATGGCGCTTTGAGAGCGTCTTCTATGGGTGTGCCTTCTAGGTTATGCTTCTCGCGGAAAAGGCTGTATTGCATGCAGATGGGGAGAGGTTGGATACACCAGCAGCGTGCGAAGTAGTAGAATAGGCACTGGTAGATGTGAGTGAAGACCAGCATCTCTGAAGTTAATTGGAGTGCGTGATGCAGGAAAGAAGGACATAGTAACAAGTTTGACATCGTGTGCTGCTTCACACATGGGCAACAGTTGTTTTTCAACTTACCGCTGCATTGATCTGTTCATACCCCGACATATCGCCATCATTTTGAAGCCGATGAAATGTCTTGCCAAATGTGATACACGGACAGCACATCGTCAGGATAGCTATACGTCTCCTCTTCAGCATGCGGTCTCATCATCCAGACTGTCCGGCACATACCAAGGTCCCAAGGCGTGCAACATGCCCAAAGACTCGTCTTCCACGCCCTCCCTTCTGTCCCAGACTGCGTCTTGCTAGCCCTGAGATCCTCATTGATAGCCTTATCGAGTTTTGTAATGGCTCTCTTGACGGTCGCGATACCAGTTGCCGTTTTGTTCTTGACTTGCTTTATGGTGGCGTTGACGATGATTTTGGTTTGTTCCATGGTGGAGGATGGGGTTGCTGTTGCGGCAGTCGATGTAGAGGACTGCGTGGCAATAGAGGCACTCATGGCTAAAAGATGGGCAGGAGCTCGGTATAAAGATGTAGTTGCGCTGTTGATGAACGGGATTCGACAGAGAGATGGGTTGTGGGTGTTAGTGGGTGGCGCCGATGATGCTGGCGGATAGATGTGGTGTGTTAGAGGAAGGGCGTAGCACAAAAATTGATATGAGGACGCGCTTATGAAATGTTTAGTCGCTTGAGCGAGGAAGCTGCAGTGGGTGAATAGCGTGGAGAGGCAGTATGGCAAGAAGGTAATTAAATCGCAAAAAATAACATCACTGCGGACGCACTTACCTACTACCAACCCTGAAATCACAACACATGTCCACTTCTCACCTTTAAGAGTGTGTCCTTTCTCAATGTCAACATCGTCCTGCTGTGGCAATGATATACATCGCCGGCTCATCAATTGGTCAAATACGAGCATAGAATACTCAGAATAAAGATACCAGTCTGGACCGCCAGTCAATCACAGCAGTTAGACGCGTGGCATCATCAGGCACAAAAATGTTTCTTCTGTGAAAATCGGCCCGCAGGAGCATTGGTGAGGACAAGCTCTAAAGATTTAGGCTCTTGATGACATCTTACAACGTGTCCTCTGACTTCTAATAATCGTAGATAAGTGGTCTTGGATCATTCTGCTGGAAAATGTTTCATTCCCGAGGACTGTTGGGTGTACTCGTGAAAACCCATTGTCTATCAGGCTAAACAATAAGATTGTGAATCTATCCCTAAAGATGTGGAAAGTCAACGTCTTGTCTTGGGAGCACACCAATGAAATATGATTAACTTACACAACCCCTGCTATAATTATCTCCTGTGGTAATACCAAGATTGTTGGTTCTAAGCACCAACACTGGATCCCACAATACTTGCCTCCACAGAACCCGTTGAACATATCCAATTCTACCAAAGGATAAATCAGCGCATCTGCAACTCCAAGCTTCCATATGCTAGAAATTACAATTTTTCCATCTGTTCCACAAACATGGCTACAGACTATAGCATTTGCCAAAGTGCATCCATCACACTCCGTTTCCACGTATCTGAATCCCTAGCCATTTTCCGTCACTATATATCCAGTGCGAGTGGAATTTATAAGATCGCCGTCCCAGTCAAGGACTTTGGATACAGACTTGAACCCTATTCAACAACGTGGGCAAACCCAGTAGCAATTGAATTGTTCAGAAACAAGAGGAGCCATCTACCACCTATATAAGCGCTAATCGAGCTGCAAATACAAACTCTCCCATGTCCATCCCAATCAGTCAGGCGCGTAGTCTGAGTTTGAAACGAGAATAGTAACCGGGACAGTGCGTCTGAAAGATGGTTTTCAAGCAAAACCCCATGTCCTTGCATACTGTGCAACATCTAGCTCAGGTATCCCCAAATTACCATGAAACCAACGAAAACATATACCTTGAGCTATTCAATTTCGCCCAACGCCAGAACCTCGCACCCAGCAAGCCCTCAACCCCATCCCTCCCCAAGCCCCCCCCAAAACTCCAACTTTTCTTCCAAACCAACAAACCCCCTCCGCCTTTCCTCAACTCCAACCCCCCTATCCTCCCCCTTCCACCCCAGCAGACACCCTATCAAAAAAGAAATCCATACTCTCCAACGTATCCGTAACATTCCCCGACCTCCTCCCCACCCTCTGCGTCTCCTTCAACTCCTCCGCCAACACAACAGCCTGCCTCGTCCCAATCCTCCTCGCTATAAACTGCAGCGTCGCAATACACCACTCCCGCATCTCATACGTCGCCAAATCGCTCTGGCCCGCCGCATACAGCGGCCAAATCAAATGCATCATCCCCGGGCTCTTGGCCGGGTCGAGAAACGTACCAGGCGGCTGGAGCGCAGGGCGTGCCGAGATACGGGCTCGGGGCGCCGCAGTGGGTGGTTGGGAAGCTGTAAAGGAGCGGTACTCCGAGGCGCGGGGGAAGGGCAACATGCCCGTGATTTGCGGGACAGAAGCAATGATGCCCGCGACCGTGGCATGCATGACTTGTTCGGCCCCGAGTTTCTGGGGCAAGGCTTCGGCTTCGCTGAAGAGAGGGGGGTCGTAGGCTTCGCAGCCCTTTTTCAGATTTTCGCGTACGGCTTTGTAGAGGTACATGCGGCAGGAGCGGAGATTGTTCCACATTTGCGCGATCCAGGGGTCGATGTAGACGCTGTAGAATGCGCCGTAGTGGTATGGCGAGGGAGTGTTTAGGTGGACGGTTTCGTAGTGCCAGATACTCGGCATCAGGGCCTTGACTTCGTCGAGTTCTCGGTCGATTTGGAGGGCGCGGGCGAGCATGGTTTTAGGGTCTGCACGCTTGTCTTGGTTGAGATTGATGGCGTCGTGCATGACTTCTACGATGCGGGTCGTCCATTGGCGGCCGTGGATTTCGTAGTCGGATTTTGGACGAAGATGTTCGTATAGGCCTTTGAGGCCTTCAGGCACCGTTGTTCCCGTTTCGAGCGCGACAAGTAGGGCAACGCCGTAGAACTGGTGGAAAATTCGACGGGCAATGCTAGATTTGAACTGCATGGGCCCACGCAGGTTGATGAGGGTGCAGGCGCCGTGGACGTGTTTGGCCCAGGCTTCAATGGAGCGCTTGTCGTGGAAGATCATGTTCTCGTACATGCCCAGCATGATGACGGAGACAAGGACGCTGTCTTTCACAGCGAGTGTGGGGTCGCGTAGAGAAGCGTTGGTGGAGCGAAGGGCAGAGACATAGGCTGCTTGGGCTTTTTGCATGATGGCCGGACTCTTGCAAGTGTTTGCGTATCCGGCCAAACTGACAGCATTGACGCTCTCTCGAAATGCGTCATCGACATCATCTCGACAGAGAAGCTCGGTGACCCATTCGAATTGCCCTCGGGGAATCAGTCCTGGCTGGGCAACATAGTTGGCGATGAAGAAGCCGAGAGCCTGTTGTTCCATCGGTGGTACGAGTTCCCTCCTCATGCTTTTTGGCGTAGGATACCGGTACGGCGACCAACTATCCATATCTGTACTTGAATGCCTCGCAGAACCCCACTCCTTGCCAAAAGAAAACACATCCGTATTTCCCTCATGCAATACTGGCGTAAGCATAAGCATATCCGACCCCCTACTCTTCCCATCTCCTCCCCCTTTCGCCTTGGCCAACTCTTCATACCTCCTCTCCGCCTTACGCGCCACATGCACACTCTCATTCTTGAACATCATAGACAGCGGATCGCGATAGCCATGACACTCCTTCTGCGCCCTCAGACATTGGGAGCACGACGGCCGTTTCTGGTCACACTTGGAACGTCTCGATTAGCAAAGCCATCCCACGCTCACGAACAATGCACCACCACAATGACAATAAAAAAATACTACCAGAATCTAAAACCCCAATACGATCGAAGTACATCTTGGAGTGGGAACCAAAAAGAGAGCGCAAAATATACCATACCTTGACTTTCCTATCCCTACAATTCTTACACCCCCTCGACGGCCGCCCAACATTAGGCATCCTCACACACACACACACACACACACACACAGCCCCCCTGCCGAAGGAATCCCGCTGAAAAGCAAGAGAGGAACACAAAGAACAACCCCACCAAAGTGGGTCAAAAGGGTCGATCAGATAGATCTGCGACGCGAGTCCGTAGGGCTGGACTATCCGTCCGTAAGGCTGAAAGAAGGGGGACCAGCAGATGTCCTCTATGTACTCGTACGGCTGCCAACTTGACCAGTACAGTGCTGTGCTGTGCTGTGCCGTGTAGTCTGAAACTCAACCTGACGGGGTGGGTTGGGTGGATGATTGGGGTAGGTTGGGACAGCGGTAGGGTAGGGGCATGTTGAGTATGGTAAGGGTGGATCGATGGGGTGGGGGTGGCAGCCTAATCACCCCGTGCGTACAACACCAACGGCAACATCAAACCTTGGAACGCCAGTGACACTGCAGCCAACTGCCACAATACCTCCCCATTCAAAGCACACTGTAAGAAATAATACACATCCTTGCAGAGATCAAATTCACCTACATCCCCGCCATCTCGTATCTATCACTCACCCCTCCTCTCCTCAGCTTCAGCCCCATTCCCAGCCCCAGTCCTTACCCACCCCGCCCTCGCCCCCAACCAGCCCATCCACCTCCCTACACCTAGTCCCCAAATAGAGAGTAGCGCTACATCTCCAACCTAACCAATGCAATGCAGAGTTGAATCAGTGGGGGGCTGCGGACTACAGGCTGACATGAACTCGCACGACCGAGCGAGTGATGCGTGATGCAGCATCCATCGTACAAAGGTTGCACAGCATGGATTGATAAGAGGAGGAGGGAGGGCTTGCAGCGTGACGATGTGGGGAGGATGGAGATGGGGGAGGTGTGTATGTACAAAGGCCATGTATGTACAAAGGCCATGTATGTACAAAGGCCATGTATGCACAAAGGCCATGTATCGAATGCAAGGTCCATCACATCCATGTTTTGATTTCTCGGTGTACAGTGGGTACAATGTGCAATCCCGCCCAAGAGATCCCACACCTCACCAGCATCCAAGACTCAAAAGCGGCGACCGAGTACAAGGTCAAGTATAAAAGGCATTCAATTGTCATGTTCTCCAAATGCTAAAAGTACGATTCACTGCACTACATACTGCATACACAGTCGACATTAACATATAAAGCCCCATGCACATACACATGCACATATCCGCATCCTCCATCTTCCAAGCCAATATCCCTCCCCTCGAAAACAAACAAGAAAAGAATACCCCTTTCACAAACTCTCAACCCCAAGCCCTCTCAAGAGCATGCAACCCACCAAAAAAATCCTCATGTAAAAAAAACCCCCCAAAACCACAAAAACAAAAAAAGCCCAATATCAAAAACAAAAAAAGAGTCGGCCGCAGTATCCACAGGCAGGCGGAGAGGGTATGTTGAAAGGAGAAGCAAGGAAAGCAAGCCGATGCACTAATCTCGTCGCGTAGGAAGGTGAAGAAATCGTCGAGGATGGAATAACTCGTTTCGCTCGCCAAAAAGAAGACAGAAAACTGGAATAAGATAGAGGGTCCATTTGTACATGAGACATGAACATTGGAAAATAAAGATGAGTGTCAAGACGTGTCAGAGGACCAACGCCTTACACAAGAAAGGGCATCTCCCGGGCAAAAAGCTGGGGACATCAGGACAGCTGGTCTCAAGTGATATTGGAGGCTGAGAATCCAGCCCAGACACCCTTGCCATCGCATTACTGTCGAAACACTGGCCACATTGACATGACTGTGTATATGTTTTTCATGACGACATGACGCTCATTCAAAGGCGGTTTCCTCTCTCACCATCAAGGGGTTTCTCCCATCGCCCCTCCCATCCATTCGGTTGTGAAAGTGTTGCTGAGCTGATCCATTTGATCCTTGCCTCTGGCCCATGTTCAGGAACATCATACCCGATTCACGTCTCCTTTGTCTCTGTTCTTTGGCCGTACCGCCCTGTGCAGCAGTGTTTAGGCTACCGTAGTTGTCGGACTGAGTATGATAGGATTGGGCTTGGTACGGTTGTTCGTAAGCCGGTGTATCGTAGGAAGGACGCATAGGTATGAAGCCGCTGGATGAGGGTTCGTAGGACGGATATTGTGACTGCTGCTGTTGCTGTTGAGATTGTTGCTGCTGCGGTTGTTGGAGGAGCTGTGGTGGTGGCGGTGGCGGGTAATTCGGTGCTGCACTAGCCTGATATGTTGGCCGATCAAAACGCTGCTGGAACGTCGTCTCACTGTACGCAGGTGTTGGTAAATCGGAAAACATCTGGCGGCGTGGGGAGCGAATGGCTTCGTCGCCGAGGTGCGGCGTGCCGTTACGGAGTTCGTGAATAGGGGAGCTTGCTTCGTCGAGAGCGGGGCCGAAGATGTCAGGAAAGTCGGTAAGGAAGAAGGATATCAAGGGTGCCGGGATGTTGAGAGTTGGCGCGAAGACGATGCCGACGTTGCGCACAGTCATCTTGTTGACAGCGGAATTCTCAACGATTTCGATCAGGAACAGGGAGAGCTGGCGGAGGAGCTCAAAGTTTGCATCTGGAAGTCTATGTACGAGAACGTTGAATGTTTGGATCTTTTTACTGCGCTCATCCATATCTGTGAAAATGTTAAAATCAGCTAGACAACAGTCTAATGGCAACTCACCGAGAACCTTGAGGAAGTCGAGGTGCAGTTCTCGCGTCAGGATGGAAGACGGCAGCTCTCGCAAATACAACTTGAGCAACGATGCAACAGCATGAACATCATAGTACTGTCCATCTAGGAGCTTGATATCACCCTCGACATTAAAGCGATCTCGGAGACCCTTGATGACGATGTTAGACCCGCTAAGCCTAAAGATACCTTCTTCGCTGATGGCTTGTTTTGCCTTGAGATATTCTAGACACCTGTACACAACGGCTGGCAACATAACAGTGACTCCCACAGGCTGTGAGAAATCTACAGCCTCCTGGAGAGGTATGCCAAATATGCTGCGATTGCCAAGTTGTGATCGCTGTTGTTGCTGTTGCTCCACAGCATGTTGTAGTTGGTTGCCTGACTGAATCGCTGCAAGTTCGGAAGAGCCACCACGACCCCTGAACCCAAAGATGCTGCGCTTCTTGTCCTTGATAGCGGTTGGGCCAGCGTTAAATGCTAGTTTATTTCCCCAAATCTCCACGTCGCGAATGGGGGTTCCATTGCTTGGTGCTGAGATGGCAGGGTAGTGGCCCAGGCTGTCTTGTGAAAAGGACGCACTTTTCGGTGAGCCTTTGCCGGGTTTCGCTCCCATAGCATCCCGATGATTGGGACCGCGGACCGGAGCCTCTGCTGCCACCGTGTCGTCGTAGCTCAGACCTTGTAATCGATCTGATTTCTCAAACTCTGGGCTGTCTCGTGTGTGGGATCGAAAAGAGTCTTGGCTGGGTTGCTGCTTCTGCAAACGTGCAACGCTGGGAACTTGTATCTCGACGGGTGAAGAATCATCTGGCATGTCTACATGCTGCAGAAGAGCGTCCACCCAGGCATCCCTTTCCTCGTCATTCTCTGCGCATAAAACGTGGCGTACGAGACTTGAGGAATCCTTGCGCTTCGGCTCCAGAATCAAGAATGCATGGCGATATTGGTTGTCTTCCGATTCGTCTTTTCTTTGGGGTGATTGGCTGGATTGTTGTTGCGACTGCTTTCCAATCTGCGCGTTTTGAAGTTTGATTGTGCCCAAGTGCGCACCACCCTCTGCCTCGTAATATCTGAACTCGGGGCCATCGAGGACGAAGAACCGGGCCTTCCAACCACCAAAATTCTTGCCACGCTTGGTAAGGTAGCCCTCCTTTCTTTGTCGCATCTTGGGAACTGACACGTCTGCTCCTGCTGTGGGATCCGCTGGAGCAAGTCTGTCCCCAGACTGTGCGCCGATAACATCGCTGGAGAAGTACTCGCAAACGATTCGTGCTGTCTGCTCGTTCATCGGGGTTTCCAAGACAGTGTCGAAGTACTGGTTCAGTGCTATGCGTCGAGCGTCTATCTTGGCTGGTGCGTGACCCCCGAACAAAGACCGCTCAGGAAGACGTCCCTGGAAATCACACAAAGACTTGAGCTGGGCGTCCAGGGTCGGTAAGGTGGCTATAGTCTTCTCTACGCGCCATAACTGCTTGTTGTCGGAACGAGCATAGATGGCGAGAATAAAGACTGGATCTTCCTCGCGTGGACTCGGCGCAAGCATACTAAGACGAGATGGCCGTAGTCGGGACGAGAAGACCTTGACTTCAATCGACGGCAGCGCATTGGGAGGGAGCAGGAGGCCTGGGTACTGCTCCGACACAAGACCGCGGTAGACGTGTTCTGCATCTGGCACTTCGTCAAACGTAGGACTGCTGTTGGTTGAGTCTGGACTAGGTTGAGCGCCGGGCACCTGTAGTAGAGTCGACGCGTTGTTGTTGTTGTTGTTGTTGTTGCTGCTGCTGCTGCTGCTGGACGCTTTCGACGCCTGCACCTGATTCTGATTGACAGCTGGCGACTGGTATGACTGAGGCGTATATGGGGCAGGGGGACCTGGCTGAGGCAGTGATCGCGCGGCAGTATGGGTCATGGCACTAGGCGACATGGGTGGGGATGCTAACGTCGATTTGGGATGTCTTGGCAACGGCGAGCCAGGCGGTCTATCTGTGGGGCGGGGGCTAGAGGGAAGGCCCGGACTCAACATGGGCGATCCGAGAGATGCGACGCTCCGGTTAGCCACCATGGAAGTGTCCGAGTTTGTTGGACTTAGCAGGGCGTTGAGTGAGGTTGCTGGAGGATGGCGGGGCGACAGGGGAAGACCGGTATATTGGCGCGGCGACAGAGAGACTGCAGCCGTCGCTTGCTGGTCGCTTACCGGGACCTCTGTTGCCGCTGAGTGTGACAGCGGCGTGTGCTTACTCTCGCTCTCGCTCTTCTGCTTCTTCGACTTGCTGCGCGCATCCTCCTCCTTTGTGTAGAGCGCTTCTCGAACGCGGTCATCCTCTTCACGAGTCTTGCGCCTTCCGCGTTGCTCCACAATGGGGATCTCGTCCACTTCCAGAGTGTCATTGTAGTCGGAGTCGACGTCGTCTCCATGGACGGCTTGGTGGAGGTGTGCGCTGGTCGTGATGGGCTTGGACAGGTTGAGAGGTGCTGGCGGAGGCTTTCGTAGAGTCTGCGCGGATTTGCGCGTTGGGGTGTCGAAGCCATCGCCACCCAACACTGGTGTGGCTTGGGTGATGGATAACTGAGGTGCTTGTAGATGGCTGTCCTTTTCTTCCACAGCAGGAGCCTCGGCAGTCTTCTGTTGCGGCGGCGGCGGGGTGATTGATTTCGCAGGCGGCTCGAGGATTTGCGGAGCCTGGCAGCCTTCGGACAAGGCAGCATCGAGGCCCAGTCCTCTGCCTGCCACATGGGGGGGTTGCGCACGTTCGTCGTCCTCGCCCGTGGGTGAATTGAGACTGGAGGCCGTGTTGGAGGCACTATGTGCCTCGGAGCAATGGGAGGGCGACTGGGCTAGTTGCGAGTCTGGGATGAGGTGTGGTGCAGGATGCTGCTGTGTCAATGGGGACGTCTTGTACTCTGAATTCTTCTGCTGCTCTGCCATGGCGGCGGCGGCGTCTTCGGCCCGCTCGCTCAGCGCGGGCGAGGGCGACTCACTGCCTTCGCGTTCGACGGTTGAGGCCATTGTGTCGGACCGCTGGAGGGCGCCGGGCCCAGAGGCTGTCTGCTCGGCGTACTCCTTCATTTTCCGGCGGTAGCGATCCTTGTCCTTGAGGGCGCGCTCGAGGTCCTTTTGCAGGCCAATGACCATGGCGCGCTGCTTCTCGACCAGACGCCACAGCTGGGCATTGTGATTCGATGTGCTCTGCTTCTCCTTCCACATGGCCAGCAGTGCAGCCTCGGGCGAACCTGCGACCGCGATCAAGCGCGCCATGTCGGGCGGGCTGGCATTGCTGGTGTCTTGCGAGTTCTTGTTGACGTGGCCGGGAGGCATCTTGGACTGTGAGGCGGCCGAAGACAGCGACGAGGCGGCCGAGTCTATCGAGGCAGTGCGCACGTTGGGTCTCGTGGTCGTGGTGGCGCCTGTGGTAGCGGGAGGAGGCATGGCGACAGGCGAGGCGGGAGGGGACAGGGCGGGAGACGAGGCGTGACGAAGTTGCGCATACGCAGACGGCCGGTCGGGCTGCGTGGTTCCACTGAGGGGGTGGTGTTGCTGGCGGTGCTGTTGGTGCTGGTTCTGATGCTGGTTGTGGGTGTACGGGGGCAACGGCGGGGGTTTGGGCTGGCGCATCTGGGATTGAGACAAGGCGCGAGGCAGTGTGTGACTCTGCGTCTGCGTCTGCGTCTGCGTCGGTGTCTGAGCAGTCGCTCTTGTTGTTGCTGTCGTCGTCGTCGTCGTCGTCGTCGTCGTCTGGCTGTTGGCGGCGGCGGCGTGCAGCATGGCTATGGGAGCGTCGGCCACAGGCGAGGTTGTCGCTCACGAATGGCAATCTTGATGCACTTCTCGATTCGCTCGAATGGCGTCAGATCATGTCGATGGGCGTGTCTGGCGAGGAATGGGGGATTCAGCAGCACGCGCAGTGGGCCCATGTCATGGCTGTGTAAGAAAGAGAGGGTCGGAGAGTCGAAACCTCTCTCTTCCCAAGGCGATGGGTCTGCTGCTCAATTGACAGTCAGTGGGACGGACAGAAGTGAGCGCTGGCGGCAGACAGACTGGCTGGGAAGCCCCCAGCTGCCAGGGTCATCATCAGCCGGAAGTCTACAACCTAGCCTGCTACAGTAGGTAGGTCGTCTACTAAGCGTCCAAGCACATACCGGTACATGGATACAGCCTAGACTCTTAGAGCATGTATTATTCATTGCAAGTCTGTACAGTACAGTCGATGGACATCACCTAACCCTGCCTAGCAGCAGTAACTGCATCTACGATCTACTGTATACTCTACCTACTGTACATACCGTACATACAGTACCAAAGTGTTCATACGAGTGCTACCGTACACCTACATGACTGGCTAACCGCACCAGCCGCCTACCTACCTATACCAGGAACAAACCTCCACACACACACACACACACACACACACACACACAAGGGCACGAGAATCCATTTCCATTCATTTGGCCTGCTGAAACATGCCTGCAGCAAGCACTGAGCAAGCACTGAGCAAGTAACCGCTTCACAAGCCACCGTGATATGTCACAAGAATAAAAAAACACAATCTACTAATATGGCTCGGTCTGCATTGTCTCTGAACCGAACCAAGCTCCTCTCTACCTTCTATATCTCTCTACTGTGTGGTCTGTGGTCCTTACCATAGTATGTTCCTACTCCATACATAGTATACTTGCTCACCCTCCTCATCCTCGTCCCCCTTCTCCCCCCTCTCACCTTTCTTACACTTCTCACCGAGACCGCGCCTCCCCACCACGACACACCAACACCAACGCGCTGGATGCATTGCCCAAGCGCATTATCCCCATGATCTCGCCTCCGCAATGCTGCATGCAGTCACTCAGGATGCACATGGAGGGTGAAACCCCAACCAAGCGACACGACACATGCCAGTCCAGGTCTGGTCTGATTGTCTCGTCGTAGTGGGCGCCAAATGCCCTCTTTCCCTTCTCCTCTGATTGGGCCCCTTGTGATTTATGGCTTGCCATATTGCCCTATCCGCCTGCTCCTCTGCCTGTCTTGCTTGTCTTGCTTGTCTTCTCGCTCCATAATTCCGACCAGGGGATAGGCAACCCCCTGGCTCTCAGCCCGGTAGCCTCCTTGATTGGCCCACCGCTCCCATGCGCGACACATCTTTGAACTGTCTGATGGTGTGTCGAGATTTTCAATCATAGTCAGCCGTTCGAGCTGTGATTGCGATGCTCCATGACCACAGCTCGAGCTTGGGCGGATTGCTGACTGCTGACCTGTACTGTCGCAAACACTTGAATCGTTGCCGGCTGTTCCAACTTCAAACTCCAGATTCCAGAATCACTTACTGGCCGGGGCGCTGATAAGCATTGGAGGGAGTGCATGTCGTCGATCATCTAACGTGATGCCTACTTCCAAGGTTGCTGTGGACCTGCAGCTCGCTTGGCTTGACCTCCGGCTGAATCTGCGCATGCCCTACTCTACCTACCGTGGATGAGACTGGTGCTGGTACCTACATACTACAAAACCTAGGGCCTACATAGGACGATGCCACCTCTAGAAACACCATCTGTCTCTAACATCGTACGACATTCCTTGCCACGTGATCGGCCTCAGATAGCCCGCCCCCTCGTCGAGAATGGTCGAGCACTGCTGAAACGTTCTTGTTGTCCGAAGCGAAGACGGCCAGCCGCGACGGGCAACATTGTGCAATTATGGTCATGTACAGATGCAGGGAGCCGCGGGCGGTTCCTTCAGTTACCTACCGACCCTCCCCAGCACACAACGGCCAACCTGACTACATACGGTCGCCGTGAACCATGGGAGGATGCACTTCGGCCCTCCTTGCTCGTCAGGGGGAGATTACGAGTGCGGGGAATTGAGACAGCTTTTGCTTTTAGGGCACCTATCGCCCTACATAGTGTAGGCTGTGAGTACTTAGGTAGCTAGTCATTATCACTATACCACCACCACTAGAATCAATCCTTCGTCTCGAGAGACTTTTGCCAGACTAGGCTTTTTGCACGTCGGCAATACCTATTTGCTTACTCACCTAGTATACTTCTACTGCATTTTACCTTCATCTTGTTCGGCCCATCAAGATAGTAAAAGCAATACTAGTGATTTAGCATTCAAAGGACATTTATAGCGTGCAATTGTATATCGCCGGCTGACTGTGCTGATGGATTCGTTGTCATCTCAACGCCCCTTTTTAGCCTCCTGTCGCTGATGTGTGGGATAGGTATGGTTGCAAAATGCTCTATCATGGTAGGTAGGCAGTTTGTTCTGCATAAGCAGTAATTCCATGTGAGTGTAAAGTTGTTGACCACGTTGACTTCAGTCGTCCCAACATTAAATTCAACTCCTGACATGCCTGTGCTCTATTCCATATGATACATGAATTGACCCATTGCATTCTCTCCTACATGGCCACGCGTCCAGTTCCACCGCGTTCCATCCTGTTCAAACGGCGAGCCGTAGTGATCTATCCCACAAGTCAGCGCAGTCCATCCACAACTGCCAAACATCCCAACCTACCTGTGTCCTTGTTCTCTGTCCTCTCACTGGCAGCCCCATGGCGTGCCGCCTTCCCCTATAGGTTCCCATGTCTCTCAATCTTCGTATATCGTCCTGCACTTGTCTCCTTAGATCGTTTTCAATTTTCATGTTCGTGAGCTCCTCTGTCAATTCCAAAACCGTCGAGTTCTTCAGCGATCCGACTTTCTGCCACGGATGGATATAGAACTTCGCCATAATTTTCTGCGAAACCTTGGGACCGATGCCAAAGAACGATTCGAGGGACCTCTGTGAGAGCAAGCCGTCAGCCATCCTCGCGCGACGGGAGACGGGGGATCCGTAAGAGAGCGCATACCTTGACGAGCGTCGCCTCCGTGAAGCTGAATCCGTTTATAAACACCTAATCACAGTCAGTACAACTCCGGAGGTCCCAATTGCAAACTAACCATCGTGACGACCTCCCCTCAAACACTTTTGGTGGTGCTTAGCGTCTTATACACCAAACAACTTGATGCTTCGTGAGAATCACCAAGATGGCTCTAGCGTGTATTGAGAAGGCGGTCGGGCATGGCAAAACGGAGGCCGCTTTGCCGCCGCCCGCAAGTAAAACACCACGTTTCAACCACGGCTACATCACCCTATTGCACCACCCCAGGGGTTAAACAAATACATACAACCCCCCCATACGCTCCCCCGCCACAGAAGAGGAGCACACATTCGTCATCATGGCTTCCATTCAACGCTTGATGATCAGCTTTATGCTGGTCTTGTCGTTTGCTTTTGTCTTCTTCGCCCAGGGCACTGAGGCGAACAAGGGACCCAAGATCACGCACAAGGTATGCAAATACTAGAGTATCAGCGCAAGAGCTGTGGCTAATCAGACGTGCGTTCAAGATCTTCTTCGATATGAAGAACGGAGACAAGGACATGGGCCGTATTGTCATTGGTCTATATGGCAAGACTGTACCGAAGACTGCTGAGAACTTCCGGTATGTTTCTTGTGGACACAATGTGGAATTGAGATGGTTGCTTACATACCTGGAGTGCTCTGGCTACTGGCGAGAAGGGATTTGGTTATGAGGGCTCCTCTTT